AAAGAAAGAAAGAAAGAAAGAAAGAAAGAAAGAAAGAAAGAAAGAAAGAAAGAAAGAAAGAAAGAAGCCCAGGAAAACTGAAATATCCCCCTAGAAATGGATAACAGATATTTTTTAATGAAGCTGTTGCTAATTGAAAATATGCAAGTGATTAAGTATACATGGCTAATGATAAAATTCACTGCTGTGCACACAGTCTTTCAGTTTGTCCAAATCTGTCAATATCCTCACAGAGTTTTCATAACCTCTAGCAGGGTTTGTCATGTGTCCAAATTTTCTGACGCAAGTTGGCCATGTCAGGACCTCTAATGGGGTGTTGGAGTACAATTGCAAGGATTCTATTAAAACACTGCAGCACATCTGAGATACCCTAGAGGAGCTAAGTATTTGATGTGATAATCTTTAAGATCCCCTGGTTGCAATCTGCAAACAAAACTATACGAGCCTGTAAGGGAGGAGCTGCTTGCAAAGGCTTTAGTTCCTTATGTGACCATAAGTCATGATCATGTTACTTTTTAAAAGTACTGTTACAGCCTAGAAAGCTGGTTTTCTATGACATGACAGTTTTCAGATGAGGAAAAATATGATGCTTAAAAAAATCGAAAGTGGATGGGTAAGACTAACACCCAGCTTAAAATTAAATACAGATGTCTCAAAAAGCTGGCTTGCAGAGGAGACACTAAAGGAAATGCTTTCAGTGAAAAGTTATTTGTAACCTTCAGTTAGAGAGAATGTAGGAGGAAGCACTGGGGAAATGGTAAGACTCGTCATCTGCCTAGGAGTTCATATTTATACCTCTGAGATTTTCATCATTTTCTCCCAGAAATTTTGCCAAGTGCAGAATGCACACATATGCACTGTCTAAAACACCTCAGGCCTTGTCCTGGGCTGTGTCACAAGTCCTTTGGAAAACCCCCATCCACTTTAAGCCAGAGATCCTGCCTTGAGGCTTTTAAACAGCTTGATATGTAGGTACCATGAAAGCTCAAGTTCTCATGAAGACTTACTCATTCATCTGTACAAGTCTGTCTTCTATGCTATGCATATTCATTGATTAGTATCCTTAGAAATCAGCTGGATGTCATAATTAAGACAAGCCAGCATTGCTAGCAGCAAATTATACATGTTCTTTAGATCAAATTACGCTGTAATGACTGAGTGGCAAAGAAATATTGGCAGCTAAAACTGCATCAAATGGCTTTCTTGAGGCAGAGCCCACAGTGCAGGGTAAAATTAGAAAACTGTCCCATCTTTTAAACTTCTCATAGCAAACAATTTTATAAAACACAGTAAGTACAAGTGGTGATTGCAAAAGCTAGCTACTTCCTAACACCCAGGACTCCAGCTCTGCTTGGACAGAGCAAGCTCTGGGCTCAGCAAGGTGCCTGTCTGCAGCTACAGTCACTTGTTTGCACCCAGAGCAATGACTCTAAGTGGTAAGGTGCACCCCAATGGAAGGGATGGTATTTCCCTTTCAAAGGAAATCTAGTTGAATTCCTGGGAGCAGAAAAAGGCGTACAGAAAAGCTTATCAGGGGGAAAGTTTTGTATCTTATGTTGTGGGGACAGAATGAGCTACAGAAGCATAAAATGGACTGTAGCCGCAGTGCTTTTATAACCATGTTGGATCGTCATCAATATGATATTTAGAAAATAACAAAGCTTTTTTTAGATCACAACTCTGTAGACATTCCTGTTACAGGGAGCGTAAAGAGGATCGAAACTCTCTCTTGACAAAGTCAAGCCTTTGTTGAAAAAGGTGTTTTATCCATTTGGGCCTTTGCACTTCAAGGAAAAAATTACTTCAAAAGTTCCTTTGAATAAAAAGGAAACAAGAAAGCAAATGTAAACAGAATTGGTGTGTCAATTGTACACATGCTCCCCAGCAGTTCCTTGGCAAAAAGACAATAACAGAAATCAAATTAAACGTGGACTAACACACAAGAAAAATACGTAGACTTCTGAAGGCAAGCAGGAAATTCAACATCAGTTTGCCAAGTCTCAACGAGTCACCAGTAGGTGTTTAAGGCAAGGAGAGTTTGCTGTGTTACTCCAGACTCATCACCACAGAGGACTGGATAGAAGAGTGCAGGGGAGATGTCACAACTGCAATCTTCTGCAGACAAAAGCTCCTACCTCGGCACAGGGATATTTCAACCCTGCCATCTCCCCCTTGGCAGCACAGCCTTCCCTGGGGACTGATCCTGCCGGGGCAGGGGGGAGACCCAGGCTGTGTGGGAGTTCACAGCACCTTAGGTGGGATACATGCTGGCACTTTCTTAGGATGGTTGTATTCATTATTGTTACGATGCTCGCACAAAAAACACCTCTACAGACTGCGTATAAAGAGCATATGCCAGTTCAAAAGTCTCAATGTCCAGTGATGTTCCTGAACTGACTTTTGGTACTGGCCTTATCTGTGCCAACTACAGTTGCTGCAGAAAAGACTCCAGTCTTAGGAAGCAGCCCTCCAGGGGTTATCACACATTGTCCTGCACATCCCCCCGACCACTTCTTCCCAAGTTCAGACTGCTGGACTTTGTCATTCGTGTCCTTCCCAGACATAAATACATGTTTTGCACTGGATTTCAATGTCCCCCCTGGTACAGGCTCTGCTATACAAGCCATCTGTACTTTGCTGGTCATGAAATGCAATATCTACTTCCTCCCGAAGAAAGATTAATACCTGTTTTTCTAAGACCTATACTGATTAAAATCTGTCTGGATCCTGATATACATCTAATGCTTGAACCAAAAAATCTGGAGGTACTGAATGTTATAGAAAGTCCTTTTCATCTTGTGTCATCAACACAATTAGCTAGCTATCTTGTGGATATAGGTAACTTCTATCTTTTCCTGAAAAATAATCTTTGAGAAGTATTCTTAAATTGATGGCTGATTTTCCTCTGAAAATCAAAAAGTGGGAACACACATAATCAGCCAAAGAGCTATATATACATAGTCAAAGGCAGATGGAAATTTCCAAGCAAACTTCTTGGTTTTAATTCAAATCGGAAAATCTAGAAAACGTAGTGTGTTCTAATCAAAAGAAACCTCTACTGCAATTTGAATTGAAAGTCTATCATTCTTACAGGGTAATTGTGGTCCTCAACGGCAGTCAGTTTAGAACATAAGTGGTTTTAGTAATTTTATTATACTGGCTACAGTAACTTACTGTTTACTTCACTCCCACTCAGCTAACACATTAAGCATGCCTAGACTAGTCATCCCATCTCCTCCTTCAAGAAAAATAGAGCTACGAGCAATTCCAGAGATCAGTTCATCTCACCTACTTTAAATACCTGTCTTAGCATGGAATGCATCACATCCTGGGGCAGTTTAGTTTTCTCCGACTTGTCCTTCTCTAAGCCAGCTTGCCCCTTAGCTTGTCATCAGTCAGATGCGTATTTATATCAAATCAGATTAAATGCTTTTGTTACTGTACACTAGCATTAAAAGAAAACTTTTGAAATGCACGAGGGAGTAAAAATAAGCAAGAGTTTCTGTATGAAGTGAAAAACGCACTAAAAATTTTAAAATATGGCATAAAAGCTAAGATGGTTGCTTCACTTTGAGTAGCTTTTCCAAAAGTACTTAAAAGTTTTCTCATAAAAATATAACTTGAACACATTTTGGCAATCTATACAAATACATACATACATACACACTCTCCTACAAGATATTAGATGTTTAACTGCTGAAGCAGCATCTGAGCTACCTACCTCTCTCCACTGTGGAGAGGTTCCAGAGCCAGCTCCTAAAACACCGTGATTGATGGTGCAGTATTTTAAGGCAGAACAAAATCAATGCAGGTTAACTTAAAACACCACACAGCGAACTGCTGCAGCCTGGGAGCTGATTGACAAGGTAAGGAGCTGGGGACAGGCATCTTGCTAAAGCATCTTTGCTCCTCAGCCACAGTCAGAGGCCACAGTGACCCTAGGAAAGTGCTGGCTGTTGGCAGCATGTCAGCACTACTGCTTCGCAAACCCCATGCCATCGTGACAAAAAGCACCACTAAAACTTTGCAGCTGCCAGTCACGTCAAAGACCTCAGCATATTTTGTCTCGTACCAAAATTGTCCACATACGAAGACACAAAAAGGGCACAATACCTATGAAAAGCTCTATATAGGGTGGATCTGGAAGTATTTCACATGACATACACAATTCAGATTTTATCAGCCCCCAGGAACTTCATTTAAAAAATGAGATTCTCTCTCATCTGCTTTAGTTCCTGTGTATAAAGATTTTCTGGAGTAGCAGAAATGAATCATGAAAACTCTAGGTGCAGACAAGGAATGTACTGCTGATGCGATGTAGGGAAGGAAGAGGGGGCCCTCTGGTTTCCATTTCATAGCCCCTTGAAAGCCACGGCAGAGCCCTGGGCTGCGAGGAACTGGCAAGGACAGACCTGCAGCAGATGTCCCCAGAGAAGAGGTTGGGGACACCGTGCCCATGCAGAGCTGGAAGCAGGCTTCAGAAATCAAACCATACGTACGTGTGTCCCCCCCGATAAAATTATGCCTTAGGCCATGCAGCAGTCCAGGTCACGAGTTGCAAAGATAGGTCAGCATCTTTGGAGGTTTCAGGTGCTGAGCTGTTTCTCTAAGAGCTAAACCTCATCAGTATTTGCTACTCACATAAAATGTTCATTTCTGCTGCCTTTGGTGACACTTCTGCCTATACCAAAGAAGAGCAACAAATTCAAAGAAGAAAAACAGCAGCACCCAATTAAACAAAAACAAGGCAATGTTTTGACAGTTGATAAAAAGGTGCAAAGGCCAATAAAAAAAAATAATTAAGGGTGACTAAAGTTCTCCACAGAAGTAGTCTCATTGGCCTAACCACCTCGGGCCTTAATAAGAAAAAAAATATGTAAAGCTTATTCTTTATTCTAGAAGAATTTCCTTCATGACTCTGGAGAGAATACTTTTTAAAGTCTTTAAAAATTACTTGGTGCTTTAAGGAAGTTTTGTAACCTGTTTTTCTTCCATTTCTGAGGATATGCTTCACTTCCAGGTGTAATGAAAGTCCTTAATACTGACTTTCATAACACAGTGGAAAACCAATTACAATATTTCGTATTGTAATTATATGTGTTAAAGAAACTAAACCTGAAATTAGAATCCCTGTGCATTTTCCAAAATTTTTTTTTTTTATTTTACAGGCAATTATTTTTTTCTTCCCAAAATATACAGCTGAACAATCAGTGAGTCGTAGGATTGCTCCTGGGACAAATTAACCCCTTGCATGAAATAAACTTAGTAAAATGTGGTCATTGAATCAGGCTTCAGAAACATTTCTAAACATCCACATCCACAACAGGAAAATAAAGCAACATTCAGTTATATTTACAGAGCCCATTTATTTCTACCAGTTAACACTGCCCACATTTAAACTTTCAAGTAACACGGCACAATAGGAGTGAATATGTGGAATAAAACAGTTGGTGCTGAAAACCTGGTGTTCACGCTATCAGTGTTCAGGAGGGTTTGCTTTGGACTAGCTCTGGCAGGATCCCACATGCTCAGCATCCATCCACAGAGGAGTGTGTTAGGTGTGCCCCTGGAGGGAGTCAGGCAGTTTATTTTTATCGGAGAGAAATGCAGTTTGTGTACTTTGAAGATGTTCCACAATGACACAGGCCAAACCCTGGTGAACTGGCATGGCAGGAGATGGCCTCAAAAGCAGAATTCTGACCCAAAGGTGAATACTAATTAAACACATGCACTGTCAACACAAAAATCTCTCTCAAAATGTTTGCCTAAAAAAGTTTCAAATAACACTTTAAGTTACTGTAAACAGAAAACGTTCAAAATATTGTTTGCAAAATGTTTTCTGTGTCTTAAATTACTGCTCTTCTAACATAATCAGTTACTCCCATTTCCCTAATTCTACCATAGAAATACAAGAAAGAAAAACATGTATAAATTTAAGACATCTTACTGTACACCCTTAAAATGGTAGATATTCTGGATATATACAACACATACACAATACACAGTCTCCCTTTACTGTAGTGGTCTGGCTACTAGTTGTGCTTTTCTCCCAATTTAGGAAGTTTAATGTTGCTTAGTTCCATAAAAGTTTTCATGAAACATATGACTTGCTAATAGCAAACAGCTCAAAAAGTAGTGCATTCAATATTTAAGCATTATATTCTTAACAGAGCAATAGCAAACCTTAACCTTAAGGTTGAGTAGTCTTCAACTAACAATATAAAACTCAATTTCTAAGCATTAAAAATTTATTTATCTACAACTATCTTGAAAAAAGGGCAAAATTTCAGCTCATATTTGAGCCAAATCTCAGCACAAACATCATTCTGAAAATTAATTTTGTTTGATTTCATCAGTTTTAATGGCCTTTCTCTGTTTTTGCCAAGATAAAATCTGAAAGAAGACATTAGCAGAGCACCTGTTCCTTGGTGTTTCAAATCCCAGTTAACTGGAGTGTGTTTGAATGAAAAGCCCACAGATTAGGCACATGTCCTGCTCAAATCAACAAATCTGTTGTAGCTTGCCTTATACCTTATTCATAAATAGGTACTGCATTTATTGCCATGTCTGTACAGTATTCCCACCAGTGACTATTATTCATTTCTGTCCACTGACAATGACATAAAACTTTAAAATCAGGTTTGCCTGACTGGTAACTGCAGGTGCATATGCTTCCAGATAGAAAATTCATACAGCAGCAGAGGTCGCATTCAAATATTTTGACTCATTTGAAGGTTGATTACTCAGTTGCTGTATTTCCTATACATATGTACGTGAAGAAACAGTGGTAAAAACAGTAACCATATCCAGACTTTAACATGTATGAAATTACCGCCCCCAGGCTAAAATCTTCCTGCCCCACTGGAAGAAATATTAATTCTCAGAAGATGCTCCCATCGGTTATAGTATAAAAATTCTGGAATGAAAAAAACATTGTGCTTGCCACCACGAAGGTGTGGAAACTGCTGTGCTTCTGCCTTGGTGTGCTGGTGCTCCCAGCAAGCCAAAAGAAGTCAAATCCGGCTGCCAAAGGGAATGACGGGAAGAATATTAGTAAGTGAATCTCAGCAGAGCTGTCTCTGGTAAGAGTTGGGCTCATCAGGGACAGCAAGCAGGATACATTCTTCACAGTACACCTGATGATTACTTACACGTTGCTTAAACCTATTTTCAGTGACAACACAACAAAAATCCTAGTGTGATGAACCTATCGTTTGTTAAAATATGACACTGTAACAAATAGCGAAGAGATGAGTTCCCTCGTCGCACAAGTTCTTGCTTTCTGCATATAAACCAACCACATTAAAAGAAGTTTACAACATCATGAAATACAGTTCTGGTAACTGACTTGCTCGGTATCCATCTCAGTTCCTCCAGTTTGCAGAACATTAGGTAGGGGGAGAAATCTCCCTACCCTCTTCCTCGTGTTGAAATGAAACAGCAAGCCAAAAGCTGTACATGAAGATCATGATTTCTGGTCTTCCTCTGATGGGACAACTTCCAAGAGGATTTGCAGTGTTACAGTTACCCTGTCTGTGGAACAAAAAGAATACACATGGGAAGTTTTGATGGAGATGGAGAAGGCAGAAACAGCCAGGAAAGTTATTTTAGCTGCCATATACCCTACTTGCACATACTGATCACAGCAGTCATGTATAGCAGGTGCACATATAATTTAAATGTCTGATTCAATTTTTTTTTTCTTTTTAACTATGTTTTCTTTGCCTCTGATCCAAGGCTATGATATACAATTATAATGGAAAGGTATGGAGGTATAAACTTGGTCAATAGAAGTCTGAATGCATTTAAAGGCTATCTTAAACCACGACTGCACTGCACAACTGCTTAGTTTTAACAAAGCTGCAATGTTGAAATAAGTCTGAAAGAGTTCAAACAAGTTAATTCAGCTGTGTCAAGATTTGCCTAAGCACAAAAAGAAAAAAGAAAAAAAAAAAAAAAAGAAACAAAGATTACAAGGCTTCACAGGTCTAAGAATGTCACATAATCCAAAGCAACTTCATGCTGGCTTTTTTGTCACACTGGACATTCGTTTCCTTCTGGTGTTTTTGGTGGTTCTCTTTTCAAGGTACTGGCTCATAAATGGCATGGTTAATTTACACATAGAATAGTAAAAGAGCATTCTCTTACACTCCTTTTGCTTGTCACTTTTCTTTAGTAACCCATTTTAAACAAGCAGTAGTTGGTGTAAGAGAAAGTTCTGATTTTCCTTGCCTAGCATGACATGTCTGCATTTACGTGAGTGTGAAAGCAAAGAGGGTAAAACAGCACAACTCACAGAAGATGTGAACTGATAGTACTTTACTGCTCTCCTAAGGCAGACTCTATACCATCTTTTGCTCTTCTCTCTGGAAGTCACCAGTTCAGTGCAAAGCCAGGTTGCTCTTAGACTATAAACTGATGGGGTCAGAGAGGCTGAGGATCAACAAGGACTGCTGATTTTGCTCTCGTCTCCCTCCCCTACCCACAGCAGGGAGTTCAGAGTTGGGTTGAGCATGGCCAGGGTGAAGGGCAGGAGGAAAACCAGCAGCAGGAAGCCAGCAGGGCTTTGCCCCTGCCATCCCAACCCTTCCAGGATTGAGACTGAGCAAAGGAAGACAAAAAACAGACTTTGTGTCAAACTGAGCTACGGTGTAACAGCTCTTGGAAAAGGGTATGGCAGCAGAGGGAAAGCCTGAGCATCTCGAGAGCTGGCTGTGATTTTAAGATCCTGTTAGACAAACTGGACAGAGCCACCTGCAGCAAGACCTTGCCCTCACTGCGGCGGGAGGCAGCTGCCACTCGTCGGTCTCCATGCAGTAGTTTTGCTCTGTGCTGGGGTAAAGCCATGGACGAGCAATCAGACAAGTTGGGGGGGG